CCTACTTCTGTTTCCTACCAAGCTTGGCCGAATGAGCGGTCCTTACCCAGTGCAGTTATCAATGTGATCGCTCGGGGTTTCATCTAATTCCACAGACTGCTTTACTCCGTGCCTCAAATGCCCAACACGTAAAACCCTTATCGCAATCTTTTTTGTATAACAGACCTCAATAAAGACCATTTCATAAAAAATCATACACAGGCTTACGTAGGCGTTCGCGTTACCAGTAACCAGAGTCCATCTAGGCCCCATAAAATTTTACAAAGAAAAACTGCACTAGCGACAGAAGTTATGGGCTATATAAAACTCCACACAGCACCAGTCTCCACTTGCGGACGTATTTTTGAGTTGGAGCAGCTCGATAGATGCGTATAGGAGTAGAGCTAATATTTCAGGAGTCCTCGTCTTTGAAGGATGAGCCTATACGGGGGAAGCGGTAACGGCAGGAATGTTCGGTGATAGGGAAGGTACACAGCGAAAATCATTGCGAGGCCTTGTAGTCCGCTCCCGCGATCGCTGCCTTGTTGTCATGCCGTTTTCCTGTTCGCCCACGCTCCCTGTCAATTCACTGCTGGGACCACGCGAGGCATGACACTAGCCAACCAAGGCCAACCAACCCTGCTCCTTCGCTGATTGGCTGAGGGCGGACAGAGTACAAATATGATAAAGGCGCACACGTGCGTTTGGGGGGGGGGGGGAGCTAAGACCCTCGACGGTGGACCTAGACTTGCCCGAAAAGACAGCTTGCGACAACTGCTGATCTCTTTTATTTTTTTAGTTCCACAGTTTTAACCACCAGGACAGGGACGTTTTTGTGGGGGAAGCAAACATATGAAGTCACGGTTAGTGCCGACAATCCGGTAGGGTGGCCGAATCCTCTGGTGCGGCAGTTTCCCAGTGCGTTTCCAGAAGGAAGAATTTCCGACCTATGATGGAGTTCCCTGTTCGAGAGACTGCCGATTGGCAAGCAAACTCCATGCTCACAAAGCTGGAATGACCTTGGCTCTATCCTCTTAAACACGAGAGAATATCTGGTAGGCCTGGTGGTAGAAGTAACAAACCAAATAAATAAAACTGGAAAAGTCATATTCACCCAATGATTTCGAAGGCTCCGTGCTGCAGAATTCTTCTACTTCCACTAACAAAATGTTGAAGTCTTCTTTTTCTTCCGAATGACAATAACACGCAAACGTATGCTTGAGCGCTCCGCTGAAAAAGGTTAACCTTCGGACTACATTAGTCGAAGTCAGAGATCTCCTCTCGAGGCCTACACATTACCCGTGGTGGAACAGACGAGAGCGTGCTTCACAAGCATCGGTACAGTCGACCCCCGGTATTCGCGGGGCTTAGGAATCACGGCTACTAGCAAATAGCTAAAATCCACGAATACCTGGAGTCCCTCTAAAAAACGCCTGCGTTCATATTGACACTATGACCCTACAACAGTTCGATATCATTTCGAAGTCATCTTAGAACCTTGCCCTTAGGCTTAGAGTTACACGTGAACAGGCATGGCAGTTCACCTGTCGTTGCTCCACAGTAAGGTTAGGCTGGCACGGTGACTTGGGCGTGAATTTGTTTATAATGGAAGTAGACTTTCACAGCATCTACCGCACTCTCTCCCCGCCCCGCCCCACTTGTGCCTGGTGTCAAGACATAGTCAAGGAGACTGAGGGCGCGAGAGAGCGCAGGTGACTGGTACGGACAGACCCGCACCTAGGCGTACCACCATACCCCCTGGTCCACAACAAACACTTGATCAGAATAATAACCAATAAGAAAATAAACGGGTCAGAAAGAAGGAGATGGCACAAGTCAACGGGCAGGCATGCACACGACCTGTATACCCGGCGGGGACGCAAGCGCATCCACAGACAGGGAACCAGGTGTCTGTGGTCTGCCAGTCCCCACCAGGCTGCGAGGGCCATGGTTTGCTGATTCATGGCATAATAGACGCATACACTATCCTTAAAGCCCAGAGGGGTGAGACGTAGCCCTGGATTTAGCCTGGGTCATTACCCTTCAAAGGCTGGGTACTCAGTCAATCGTGGACTGATAGACACTACCCATATAGCACACACACACACATTCCTCACATGCATGAGAGTGCCAGAGTTCACGTCAGGAAGGAGCTGTAACAGCCTGACTCTTAGCTTACCAATTCTCCTCTCATACATTCCCTAAGGTCCAGAAGAGCGAGGGACACAGCCTGGATTTAGCCTGGGCCATCACCGTTCAAAGGCCTGGTAATCAGTCAATCATCGACTGGGAGGCACTACCCACGTACACACACTCCTCACATGCGTGAGAGTGCCAAAGTTCAAGTTAAGGAGTCGTAGCAGCCGGACTCAGTCCACTAGTCAACCACTTCACATAAAGAGACACAACTACTCAGACTACTTGGACTGCGCCGTGGCGTCAGTCGGCAGCCTTCCAACCCATGG